CCATCCCAAAGGCGATTTATATTTAGCCCGGTGTCTCCTTCGGGCAGAAAATTTCCCCCCTCCCTGGCACAGCTGTCGAGTCCGTCTCCCTCCTCCACCCCCGGCCTCAGCAAATGGCAGCCCCGAGTCCCCTGGGGAAACCTTGGCCACCCTGGCAGCGCCCCGACCCGCTCCTCCTCTCGGCCGGGCACACTGCTCCCCCCGGCCCGCTGCGTCGCGTGGGGGGCTGCCCCACAGCGTCACCCCGTCTTATGGGTGGGCACACTGAGGGGCAAGCAGCAAGCCAGGGTTTTGCAGCGCGGTTTTAGAGGTCCCCATCTTGCTCCAAAGCACTGAGTGTTGAATGCACTCCTCTCATTTCCCCAGGTGCGAGGATGAGGATGAAGGTGCATCCCACACGTGATGTGGTCCATCTGCACGGCTGCTTGTGGTCTCCCAGCCACGTCCCAGACACTACAGGCTCATTCATGCAGCCTGTGAGCAATGCATGCACCCGTCTTTCCATCCTGGGGCTTGCAGGGGGAAATGCAGGAGCTGTGGAAAAAACACCTTCCATCAGAGCCAGAAATAACCTGGCTTTTATGCTCTTACTCCCTTCATAGCCCCTTCCCTGCCTCACTGGGTGCGGGAGGTCTGTCTTAGGGGGAAAAAAGCCCCAACACAGCCAGGGCAGCAAGCTGGAGCATCACTGGAGCCCCTAGACATGGCCCTGCAGGGCCACCACCACTCTCCCACTGGGCCACCAAGCCATGGCAGCGTTCCCGTCCCTGGGCTGTGCGTACAAGAAGGGGGTCAGGGTCCAACTGCGGGAGCACAGCTACTCCATAGCCCTGCACGGAGCAGGAGGGGACACCTGCATCCCAGCCCATGCGAGAAGGGCAGTGCGGCCCCAGCCTCTGTTCAGTACCAGAGCGGAGATAGGCTCGGTGGTGCCGGAGCCGGGAGCATGCCTGCAAGCACCTGCTCTGCCCGGGGCTGCCTGCTGAGGAGACGGAGGGTACCCTGCAAGCGGGTCTGCAGCCCCTGCAGCCTCCTTGCCTGTGCGGGGGGGATGAAGCCTGGTCTTGAACCAGGAGCAGGGGGAAAGAAGGAAACAGCTTGGCTTTGCCGCTTGCAAGTAAAAAACAATAACACCTCTCCAGTGCGTGATTAACACCCAGCCTCATAAACAGACCGCAGTATTTACAGCGACTTTGTCCTCCCTGCTGCTCTCCACCAGAAGCTGATCAGCTCCATCCAGCTGGCTGCGTCACCCTGACCAGCCCTGCTCGCCGTGGGGAAGCATTGCTTGGTCCGAGCCTGCCGGCATTCAGCAAGGGACAGGCACAGGGGCAGGCTGGCAGGATGAAACCCTCCCTGAATAGCTTGGAAAAAGTACTTGCAGCAAATTATCTATCTGAAGCGCACAGCCTCCGCGCGCTCTCCGGCTCGTCTCCATGGTGAGAGAGGCCTCACTACCTTGCTGGGTTTCTTTGCTAGAGCACTTACAGCTCCTGCTAAATCTCTCTCACTTTTTCCTTGCCTTTTTTTTAGAGAGCGCCTGCACTGAGGGCCTGATCCTTCCTTCCACCTCCTCGCTTTGGCAGGCGTGGGAGCAGGTTTGATGCAAGGCACCCGTGGAGGTTTTAGGAGCCGGGCATGGAAACACTGAGGATGGAGATGCTGGGCTCAGACATGCTGTGCCTGCTCTGCATGATGATGTTTATTTAGTTGCTGGTCCCCAGCAGCCTGGGAGAGGACAGGACCAGGGCTTGGGGGATGCCAGTGCCAATGCCCTTGTGTTGGATGCACCAACCACCCCCTGCAAATGTGAAGCAGTGCAGGGCTGTGAGAGCCCCAGTCATCCCAGTATGAGCCGGCCCAAATTCGGCCCATTCTCCCAGCCCCTGGCTGCAGAGCACACAAAACCAGAAGCATTACGGGCACCGAGCGGTAAAGAAAATCGTGCAGGGCCCTTGCACAAGCCGTGTGTGTGGATCAGCCCCAGGTCCCACACTGAGATCGCAGAGACATAGTGACGGGCTGTGACCAGCAGTGCCCAGCAAGGAAAAAATATCCCTGTATAATTATCATATCCGTCCTGCCGGTCAGCCTGGAGACCTGTCATTGTGCCTCTGCAGAGGGCAGAGGCCACTGTGCACACCAAACCCTGGCCAGCCTGAAAGGAACATCTGAAGGGATCCCTGTGAGCTAAGCTATGATTACATTTTTTTTTCCGCAACAAAAGGAGAAAGAGGCAATTAAGAGCTGGTTTGTTTGTGGCCGTGCATTTTACTGTGGGAGACACCTGTCTACGGAGGAGGAGCAGGCTGCAGGCTGGGGACACGTGTGCCCTCCCAAGGGTGAGGGGCAGGGGGAGCCTGGGCATGCTCCCCTCCCATAGCACAGCCCCCAGCATGCCTTGACCCCGCACACGTCACCTCCACTGCAGGCAGAGCTGTGCCTCTGGTTAATAAATGTCCCCTCCTGTCTCCTGAGCTCCTCCAGGCTACCCGTTGCGTGTGTCCTCGTCCCACTGCTCTCGTCTCCCTCATTGCTTCTTCTAGGGATATTTGCCCCCTGTGCCCACGCCCCAAGGGGAGAAGCCTCCTCCTCATCGTGCCTCCCACCATCCCTGTGTGGGAGCTCCCATGCCCAGGGTACAGGAGGAACTGAGGGGGGACCCACTCCTGATCGAGCCTTTGCCTTTGCCAAACATCCCCACGGGGCACCGCCAAGCCCCCCAAATCTGGGGACCCCCGAGGCTGGGACAGGCTTTGCCTACTGACGAAGCCTGGAACTGCACGGGTGGCAGCTGCCTGCCAAAGCGTCCTCTTGGCGGGACACGAGGATGATGGCCAAGAGCTTTTCTGCTGGCCCTCAAGATCACAAAGTCCTCACTGTGAAAAACCACGCCGTGCCGTGAGTTTCTGGCAGACGGCATGCCAGTGCGATGCTTCGGGCTCCATGCTTTATCCCACCTTCTCTTCTATGGTGCTACCACCTCTTGCATCTATTCCCGGTCCTGCACCAAGAAGGTCCTTTCACTGCTCTGGTGGCTCCCCAAACCCCACGTCCCCCATGCAGAAAGCAGACCCCGGAGCACAGCCGCCTCCCTGCGTTGAGCAGAGCCATCCTTCCCTGCCCGGATTCGCAGGAGGAGGGCTCGCATGGGGCTCAGGCTGGAGCAGTGCCCATCTTGTCAGGCAGGTACGGGGCGGTGTGTGCCTGTCTCAAGCTGTTATTTCCATCTGGAACATGGATTTTTTTACATGTATCACTACACACGATACATGTCACGGCACCTGGCTCGCCTTCGCCCCTGCAGTGGGAGAGGGAAGAGGGGAGACGACTACCCACCGCTGCCCCTCTACTCCACACGCTCACCGCTTTACCAAAGAGGTGAAAAAAAACCTGCTCATTTTTCACCCTGTGCATGTGTCCTATTAGCAAGCCAGAGCACATGCACACCCTGCTCAATATTTTTGGGAGCTGATAGATGCCGTAGCAGTCAGGAGCCCACAGCGTGGCTGCTAGAGCTATGCCCCCACGTCCCTGACAAGGGAGGTGATTTCCATGAAATGGAAATGGAATCACAGGCAGCGGGAAACCAAAATTCAATACTGGCCAGGGAAGAAGCTAAACAAAGGGCCAAGGTCTCTGCCCTGGCATAAGTGAGATCTCCCTCCCATGCATCACCTCCATGGAGTGCGGCTCCATTGCACATTTTACCTGCATTCATTGTAGCACCAGGGCCATTTGTTTGTGTATAATAAAGGGGGTCTGGGAGAAAAGCATGTAATTAGCACATCCATCATATAGGTTTTTTAGATATCAATAAACCATCGATTCCCTCCTTCCATAAATTCTTGCGCCGTGGTGAATACAAATCAGTAGCCAGGATGGAAAA